TGGTTGACTTTTGAACATTTTCTTGGTCTGCAATTGAGGATGTTTCCATTCCCTACTCTGCGGTTTACTCTCAGGCTCATAGTGATGAATCCAGGGCTCATCACCAGTAACGAGTTTTTAAAAGAATCTTTTACCTTCCTTCCAGAATTGGTCCACATTTTGTTTGCAAATATGTCAGTTGTTTTATTTTAAAAATTTAAAAAAAAATAAAAAATGTTGAGGTAAAACTAACATAAATAATTTATCTTATTTATCTTATCCTATAGGCATAGAATTCTGTAAAATTTATTACATTTACGGTGTTGTATGACTGCCAGCTCTCCCTAGTTCCAGAGTATTGTCATCACTCCAAAAGGAAACATGAAGCAGTTACTTTCCATTTTTCTTAGCCATGGACAACCATTAATAAGCCTTGTGCTCTAGAGATTTACCTTTTCATCAAAATGAAATCCCACCACTCGTCTGACAGTTTGTCGTACTGTGGTTGCATGGCTATCACTGTGATGCTGGAAGCTATGCCTCAGATATTTTAAGTCTCAGTGGAGTCACCCATGGTGAACAGGGGAATGAACATCAGTCAAGAAATCAAACTATGTATTGCACTAAGCACATTTATTGTAAAAAGACTTCTTTAAAGTCTTAAAGAGTAAAGATGTCAGTTTGAGGATTCAGGTGTGCCTGGCCCAAGCCGTGATAGTTTCAATAACCTCATATGCATTTGAAAGCTGGCCAGTGATCATAGAAACATCGACACATTTGAATTACAGTGTTGGTGAAGAATATTGAAAGTTCCATGAACTGTCAGAAGGATAGTCAGAATGTTCTTTGGAATTGAGGACAGTGAGACTTCGTCTCACATATTTTGGACATGCTACCAGGAGGAACCAGTCCCTGGAGAAAGACATTGTGCTTGGTAAAGTGGACGGTCAGCAAGATGGATCGACCCAGTGGCAGCAGCAATGGGCTCAAACATAAAATTGTGAGGATGGTACAGGACTAGCAGTGTTTCGTTCTGTTTCGCAGAGGGTTGCTATGAGTTGGAACCAACCCAGTGACACCTAACAACAACAATAAGTGAAATCCTACAACCCACTTTGTTTCTGACTTATTCTCTCTGTGTGTTTTCAAGGTTCACGCACATTTCAGCAGGTATCAGATTCTTTAGGGCTGAGTACTATTCCATGGTGTGGATACACTACATTTTGTTTATCCGTTATCTTTTTTTGGAGTTGGGGGCTGTGGAATAGTCAGAAGAGGATGTGGAATTAGGGATATCGTTGCTGACATCAAATGGATCGTGGCTGAAAGCAGAGAATACTAAAAAGATGTTAGTTTGAGCTTTATTGACTTGTCAAGACCTGTTGTTAGGTGCTGTCCAGTCGGTTCCAAATCATAAGGACCCTCTGCACAACAGAACGAAATAGTGCCTGGT